AAGTTGAACGTGGGCCAGGGGAGTGTTCTCTCTGCAAATAAGTCAAGCTGCAGTCTGGGCTCCATCAGGAAGTACGTGGCCAACAAATCAAGGGACGTGCTTATCTGCCGGCATGTGACACTGAGAAGGCAGTGTATCCAATATTGCTGTCCAGCTTTGGGCCTCTCACCTAACAAGGATGCTGAAAAACTATAGAGGCTCCAATGATGGGCTCCTGAGGTATGTCCAGGGAGCTCAACTGCCTACCTGCTGGAAAAACAGTGGAAGGAGTTGGACATAGTCTGAGGAGGAGGCGGCTGTGAGGTGACCTAGTAACAGCCTAATATTATCTGCAGGACGGTTACAAAGATGGAGCCAAATGCCTCCTGATAGCTGCAGGTGACGTGGCAGGGGCAGCGGCCACAAACTCCAGCTTGGGAGCTCGAGGCCAGGCAGCAGGACAAACTGCTGTACTCCAAGGGCAGTGCACTGGGCTGCCCAGAGAGGTCATGCAGTTTCCACCCTTGCAGGTTTTCAAGCTTCATCTAGACAAAGCCACAGCTGACCTGAGCACTAGTGCCAGTCTTGCTGCAAGCAGGAGGATGGACTGCATGTCCAGAAACAAAATTTCTACAATGCTACAACCTACAGAGAGACAGAAAAAACCCCCAAGGCAGAAAGAACCCAGTTTGGTATAGAGGGCAACCTTGATTGAGACAGTAACATCCTGTTTTGCTTGTTCCCTTCGATGCAATGCTCCCAGGCTGGGCTGGAGGCCCCCAGATGCTCCAACAGCAGCAGGGAGGATGCAGTGGAGAAGACATAGTATGCACAATGTGGGGGTGCCAGGCTTTGGGGTACATAGCTCTGCTGCTTGCAACCTGCACATGATGCTGCAGGTGGACTTGCCTCTGGTAGCTCAACTTTTCTGAACGTTGTTTCTCAGCATGATGTGAGCAAACCCCAAGTGTTATTTGTTTCAGAAAAAATTATTGCAGTAAATCCCTCCTTCTAGGCTCACTCATTTCTTCTCCCCCATCTCTTACTACTTTCTTACCACAAAGACAGAAGTTCTTTTATAATACAAGGTTTATCTTACCTGCTTGCTCAACAGCCCCAAAGAGCTGAAAGTTCAGCAGAGCCCAAATATAGCTCTAGCTGTGTCTGAGTAGGTTACATGGAAACTACGAAGAGAGAATCAGACCTTTCATGCATCTCCCACCTTGTAAACAATCAGTGGTACTTTAGGCATGCATTTACATCCAGGGAGATCTTCAGTAGTATTCTGAGCCTTTTTATTTTGCAGCTGTCTTGGGCATCAGCACCATTTCAGAACTTGTGGTCTGTTAAGTGCCAGCACAGACCTCCCTAATCTAAGGCAAACAAGTGTTTGTTAAAACCTGGGGGAAAACCTCCAGAGCACAGAGTGGCAGAGGAGTTAACATAGGCTAATGTGACATAAATGAAGGCCACACTCAGACCAGAGAACACATACTTGCATTTATATGCCACAGCAGTCACCAGAGGTGTCCTACTAAGCAGCCATCTGATCCTAGCAAAGGGGGAATTAACACTGAGAAAAACAAGTACCCTTTCAGTCCTTGCATGCTAACCAGGCAGAAGATCCCCGCATCATTAGTGTAAGTTGGATCTGCCCTGGACTACCAAGTTGTAAAAGTTTTTTGAGCATGAAAAAGTTTGAGGGAAAAATTGGTTGAGTTGTCTTACCCATAGTTTTGACTTCAGTGACTTCTAGGACCAAAATTACTCTGCAGATCAAAGATTGTCAACCAAACCAGAAGGGGGAATAAAAAACTTGGTCTAAAGTAACACCTGTATATCAAGTCACCCGCACAAGTAATTGTATTTCTAGGTTTTTTACACTTGCCTTTGTTTTTCTGTTTTTGATGTTGACAGTGTATTAAGTATTTAGCATCTTTTTGAAGCCACAGTTGAGTTTTTTTAAGCTACAACATAGCAACCGATTCATCGCTGAATCTTCCTGCCGCTCCCAGCACTGGCAGAAAGACAAACTAAGGCAAGAGTTGCATCCAGATTAATTGCTGGCCTAGTCCTGATTTCAGCCAGTTCCCTGCAAGGGCTGGCTCTGGAGGGGCCTGCTGCACTGGGGGAGATGGCTCGTGCCTTGCAAAGGAGAAAAGCTGCACAAAACTAACCACTTATCTGCCATTGTTAAGCGTAGGTGTCCTTCTCCCCTCCATCTGCACGGGGCAGGGGGCTTTGCCTAGGATGAGAACTGTGCATGACTGAGAGAGGTGCTACTTTAAGTTCACCACAGCCAGTTTGTTAACACCTGACTTACAAAGCTGCTCCTGAGTTTCTGCTTTCCCCTCAGCAGCTTTTTCTGACATCCTGGAGCTTTCCTTGTCCTCCACAGCACTTTGGGCTGAATCATCTCGAGCAGTACTTGCTCCTCCCTTGGTAGTTCACAAATACAGTATATGCACACTTCTTCGCTTGGGAGAGCCCAGCCCCTGGCAGTTAAACATCTGCAGGAGTCTCAAAGTACTTCACCTCTCTCTCTAACTCAGTTTGATTTCTTGTGGTTTAGTCTGAGGTTGCCTTTTTAGAAAGCACTGGCCTAGCTTTTCAAAAGGTCATGAACAAGGAAACTTCCTAATCTTAAAAGATGACTTCATCACCTATTCCTAATTAAAAACGTCACTCTAGTGTTGCGAGAAATTAAGAAAAATACCCGAACTAGTGGCTTACACCATGAATATTTTTTTAAATGCAAGTGGCTTGGACTGTACATGGCATTGCCAGAACACTGGTTCATTCTGCTATCTGAAAAATTGGGCACAATGTCTAAAAATGTCTTCACTGATTAAGAGTTATCCTGCAGTAGGCACAGAAAGGAACTTGTGTACAGGCACCACTTACACTGAGCTCCTACACACGTGGCAGCACTGCCAAGTACTCCCTGTGCAGCACAGGAAGCAGTGCAGCACTGGAAGGGCCAGCTCACGACAGCAGAGCCGGGGTTTGGGGGTAGAGATCGCGTATGGCACCCCAGAACCAAAGCCTGGCCTGGCTGTCCCACAGCTAAGAGTGCATTTATAAAGTCCTTTGACCCAGGACAGAGCTCCTTGCCAAGACTGTTGCATGTCAGGGAAGCACCTCCCTGTACACAGTGCGTATCCTAGCGACTGTTACTAGTAAAGGCAGAAATACAACTGGAGTTTATGTTTTGTTGTTAAATGGGCGCTTCCTCCCAGGATACCCAGCACAGACCTGCCTTCAGTCTGCAGCCAGACGTGTGTGGCCCCCTCACGCGATGCAGGGCAGCTACAACCTGTTCTAGGATGAGATGTCGGCAGATTCAGCAGACAGGGCTGCAGCGAGAGAACCACCAGCAGCAGTGCTCCTGCTGCCAGGAGCTGCACAGGCATCATAAGCCATGCTTCTACTGCCAGGCCCAAGGTTCTCCAGGTTTGTACTCCATTAGGAAAAAAAACCATCTCGGTTAGAAAAAAGCAAACCCAGTTTGCCCTCCAATATGAAAAACACCCAAAAACACAAACCCAAAACCCAGCTGTATGTCAGTGTCTGCGCAGCTGCTGCCAGCAGCACAGCTGCTGTAATCCAGGTACTTTTCTGCATGTAAACAAGCCCTTGTAAGCTGCAAGAAATCACTCGATATGACAGATGGCTCATCCCTCTTGTTTTGGCAACATTTGGCTGTGCCTTCCTCACCTTTCTGTAGCCATCAGCCAAGTTTGATATTGTCCTTTTTAAATGCAAACCACAATTTTTTTAATATTTCTGATTTTCTAGGTAATGGCTTTTCTGTAAAAGCAATTTTCACATGGCAAAACAAATCCCTTTGCTATGAATAATCACAGCTATACTGATGAAGTCTCTCTGGGCAGACCCAGGCTGAACGCACAGCCTCACGCAAGTGCTGGTCTCCACTCTACTGTGACAAATCATGAGCAGGACGTGCTTGGGACGTTTCTGTGTGCCCTCTCTGAACTACACATGCCCCAGTGGTGCATGTCCGAAAGCTTTTTTGAATTCTGTTCCTCAGAAGACGAGCAGTACAGCCAGTGCTGAAGTTACCAAAACAGCTTCTGTCATACAGGAGCATTTTTAACAGAAACAAGGAAGTCCTCTTTTGAGACACTTCATGTGTGGCAAAGACTTGAACACAAAACATCCCAGACTTTTGAATTGAAATACAAGCTTTACAACCACATAGTAAGTGTAGGCTCTTATATTTAAGACTATATCATTTTATAGAGTACCAAAATAAGCAAAGGATCAGCACTCCATACAAAGTGTTAGTTCTCATGAAGAGGGTAGAAGGGAGATGGACTTTAATTACACTAAACTTTTTTTTTTTCAAGTCTAAAGAAAATTCCATTTCAGCAGAACAGATTTGGGTTTCAATTCCCCAAATTTCTAGTTCATTAAATAGCGTTTCTTTAAAGACAATTTACATTTTTTTCATTCAAAGTAAAGGGATGATTTAAAGCAATATTAACAAGGAGGTGGTGCTGTTAATGTTTAATGTCAATATGCATCTGCTATAAAGGCTAGAAGAGCAACACAACTTTATCTTTACTTCTGAAGACTACTAGAAATTGACTAACATTTGAGAGAAGTTTGCAGCACACTACATGGACTCCAGCTCTAGGCTGCTGCCAGGGAGCCTCTGCTAGTCTGTACGCTGCCACGAGGACTCGGCCAGCACAGCCCAGCGCCCCAGTGCCGGCAGGGACACGTGTTCTCACACATGTATGCTGAGTCCCACTGACAACGGTGACATCTCTCCCCTGTCTCATGGCATTAAAACACAAGTCAGCAGCTAACATTGCCACTACAATTTTACAGAAGCGTAAAGCTGAACATAATAGCAATTAAAACAAACTGAAGCTCTCTGTTAAATTTCATGACAAGCCTCTTTCCCATCCTACTCCCTGTCCAGTCCCTTCCCTAATGTCTATTTTACAATAAAGAGGTTAAGTGGATTTACATGATGCAAGCCAACTCAAAGACTTTTGCCCTATACATATAACCATGTTAAACTGTGAAATTATACATGTGATAGATCTCTAACAGAGCGACTACCAGTTTAGATTTTAAAGAAACACAAGTATTTGAGCATGTACACAGCAATGAGTTTTAAAACTGTCCAACATCGTCACTTTCATACATTCTCTTCCTCTTTATAGCCTTAAAGGGATTTTAGACCTTGATGGTGACAATCCCAAACAAGAGTAAAATGAATTTATTTTATTGCAAACAAACGTCTAGAGTTAAACTTCTCCACCCACCTTCTTTAAAGAGAAAAGGAATCAGCAGGCTAAGGAGATACACCCATTTGAAAATTGACATGATTAAAAATTAAGATATAAAATGGGTGACTCACAGTTTCATTAGCTTACAAAATGGTGGAGTAACTACTACAAGCACACTAGGTATACAGTATTTTGTGGGGAAAGTTATACAGACACACAGCTAACTTCATATAGATCCCATTAGACAACTGGATTTACAACAAGTTTTGTTTAATAAGAAATGGGCAAAGCCAGCTTCTTTTCAGAATCAAAATGCAGAACAAATGGAAAAGAAATTATGGTGTTGTACCTTCACAAGTTTGAGCCTCCACAAATAAAGCAACCGAGTTTTACAACTTTAAGAGCTTCTACATACACTCCACCTTCACTATTTAGCCCCAGGTTTCTGCTTTGCCCCCAACATCCTAAAGAGTTCCAAGTGTTACAAAAAAGTCCTAGTTATTGCCAGAAACTTTTACCTCCCCCTCCTCCCCTCCCAACCCAAAAGCTTCATAGAGAAGATGGAGTGTAATATGGAGCTTTACATAATCTCATGGTATTTGAGGGCTACCGAGAAGCCTCCGTACGAATCTGGTTGCTAACACTGCTATCGTATTGTGACATGACTCACGACTGTTTCTTAGAAATTGGGGGATGGGGAAAAAGGAGAAAATTCTTTAATAAAAAGACACCAGGTACAAAGCAACGTTTTACTTTTGTTGTGGTAAAAAAAAAGTCACATTTTACAGATAAAATGCAGAACCCTGAAATACTGACACATTCTCTTATCGTGCACAATGCTGAGGTTCTCTTACGAATCACTTTAAAACTGCAATTAAAAATGTACAAAAAAAGAAAAGAAAAAAATCAACCCACAAAGCTTCTAAAAAAGGAACCCGCAGGCACTTCCTCTTGTGGAATGTTTAAAAAGTTAGCCTACTAAAGAAAACAGTCGACTTCTTGTGAAGGTTTTGGAGAAATATGTATCAGTTCATTTATTTGGGTATTCAATAATATCCTTGGTGATAATGCTGACTCCATGGCTTCTGACCCCAGAATTGCTGCAATAAAGAATAAATAGTTAGTTTTAATCTGCAATTGCAAAATTGTTACATTTCTTACAGAAAAAGAAGTACTTAACAAACATCTAGTTCCTCTGGAACTTGAGAAGAATAAAATCCTCTCCAATAGCAGTAAGTTTCTGAACAACTGAAGGCAGTTATGAGCTCACCTCACAGCAGTAATGTGATGCCAAACACTACATACCATTAAGGCTGTTAAGCCACAGCTGATATTTGATATATCAAGACCATCAAGCCAGATTAAGTTTTGCACAGGAAACTATTTATAGTGATATTACCTAGCATTAGAAAATTTTAATATCCAGTTTTGATTACACATCTAATTATTTCAGTCAGCATTTTGAAATATTCAAGTTAAAAAATCAGTAAAAAGATAAAGTTGTGACTACTTACACCCTGCTGCCACTGGTTGTAGCCCTGAGATTGGTTTTTGTAGCCACGATTATTTCCCCTTCCTCTGAAGTTCTGCAAGAGGACAACAGCTCTTAACAACTTCATCTATATGTGTTTTTCAGAAGTGTACTAATACCAATCTTTATTACCACCAAAACACCACACACCACATCGAAGCTTTCAAATTCAAGCTGTCAGTCTCGGGTTAAAACAAAACAAAAAAACCTACACAAAACAAAACCCTCCCTGAAAACCACTAGAATATCAAAAGCCTCCTCTCTCTAAGCAACTCCTTTTTAACAAGGGGTGAGAACATCAGAATTAATAAGCCAGCTCAAACTGTCGTTGCCAGTGGTCTGGAAAGCTGGCTAATCCAGTTTTGCCTCACCCTATTTTCAGCTGCTAAACTGCACCAGGACAACTAAAAATACAAGAGCTTGTCTATTTTCAGTTAGGAAAGGCTGTAGTTGCTACAAGGGTATGTTATCTGATCAGACAAAAGGATATGGGTCACACAACTGAAAATAGAAGAGCTAACCCACAGAACTTCAAATAGAAGTTATGGTACAACAAAGGGACATTGATACTAGTAGATAAAATATTTCATTTCTCCTGTTTGTCAGTATTATGCAAACTTGAGCCATGTTTACTGGCTTGGGCTCCATCTGCTGGCTTTTCAGTAATCCAGTTTTTTTTCATGAATTCCACTGATACTCCACCAGGTAAGACCTAGGCTAGCACCTTTACCAGTTGCGTTTGATACCAGACACCAAGACAAAGACTGTGTAGAGTCATTTCCATAAAGTTCCCTAAATATTTGATAAAGATACACCTTGACCCTAAAGCCGAACAACAGTTACTACTATTGTCAGGAGAGGGGGGGGACACGTGACAAACAAAAAATCCCAAACACAAGCCTTCACATACATGCCCTAGAAATCTTTGTTTTTAACAAGACAGAGGTACAGCCTTAACATGGAACCCCCACATCCACATCAGCACTTCTTACACAGCATTCAGAGCCCTGTGCACATGCACTAAACCAGAAAAGCCTTGCAGTGTGGCAGTGGTGTAGCACCACAACCTAGTGTGCAGCTGGTTCACAGCCACCAAACCTTTCAACCAACCTCATCCAAAGTACTGTAGTTCACCCAGTCAATCCCCCCTCCCCACCCAAGCATCACCTGGTTGTAGTTCCCCCTGTTGGGCATTCCACCTCTGTTATAGTTTCCTCTGTTTGAGTAGCCACCTCTGCTTGGAAAGACAGGGCCGCGAGGATATGGGTAGCCAATCGCACCGCTGCTGCCACCGCCACCACCGCCACCTCCACCACCTCGCTGAGGCATGTTGCCTCCCCTTCTGTTGTATCCACCACGATTGCCAGGGACTGCAGGGAGAGAGTTACTTCAGGTCTTACATATTTCCTACTTGAAAATCAACAGTGCAATCCAGGATTTTGACAATTTTCTCATTCAAGCTGGACAATTAACTCTGCATTAAAACGTTAAAACTTGCTGAAATTGAAAGCAAGATTCCCACTAAATAATAACTGCAATGCAAGTACTACACCCTTTTTTCCCTCAGTAGCAGCATCCTCCAGAATTCACAGCCTTATTTTTAGGCTCACCTCCTCCTCTGAAGTTGCCCCGCATGTTGAATCCTCCACGTCCTCTCTGACCCCTATTAAATTGATTTTTATTGCTCTTCTTGTTCTTCTTTGAGCCAGTGTTCTGTTTCTTTTCTGGCGGAAGAGCTTTCTTACTTTCTTCTTTATACTGTTCCAAAAGCTTCTGAGCTTCTTCTTTTTGCAACTCTACATAGATTATTTCATCAAAACATTCTGCTACCTCTGGCAGTGTGAAGTTCCCTATAATTGCAAAAACACTGAGTATTCAGCATCTACATTCAGCTACAATCAAAGCTGCAATTTAATCACCTTTCTCCCATTCTTCCTCCCACCCCCTGCATTCCCTCAAGCATAGGGACAAAATTACATAATTTGAGCATTTAGGAAATGTAACAGTGACAAAAGAAATAAACAGGTCTTCATGGAGTTACCAGTACTGTTCCAAACCTCAAAAACATTCTGCCTGTATCTTTTTTTTCTTTTATAAGCCTCCACTCAGAATACCAGTTTCTGCCAAATATATCACTCATATAGGGCACTTTATGCCAAGACAGCTTTGTGCATCTGCATGAAGCGTATCAGCATAACTGAGTAGTGTTAAGGACTGCAGCAGAGGGAACACAATATAGTGTTATCCTACCAAGTTACAATAGTCTTCCAGTTTTGTTTAAGTACAACTGTTTAAGATAAAGTGATTTTTTTTTAGACTTCACGTTTACTTAATCCTTTAAACAGATAGTCAGCATCCTAAAACACAGTATAGGATTATGTTCCATGCCTTTCATTTTGAGAACTGCATGCTCTGGAAGATCTTTTCCCTCCACCTCTGCCTTCTTTTGTGTTCTTTGCTTGTAGTCTTCATCTTTTGGGCAAACAACAACTGCTTTGCGCTGGAAGCCTGCAAACAGGCACATTTTTCTCCTCTGCGCAGCTGCAGACACATTTGTCTGAAAAAAATGCAGTAACTTACTACACGTAGCTGTCATTGTAAGAGTTAAGGAAGTCAACTTATGGTGTATAGACTTCACCTCTACAAGAGTTTGCAATGAAGTTTACAAATAACTGGACATAAAGATGCTGCACAATGCAAAGTTACGAACTCATATCCACGTGTTAAAACGCTATTCCTCCCACATCCCATAAATCCAGAGAAGTTCAGACAAGCATTTGTAGTAATATCTCAACTTTGTGTCCCCTGAGTAGTAAGTAAGTGAAAGTGCTATTACAATGTAACTTTAATCCCAGTTAATTACTACATTACAGCCTATAACAGATTTCCTTAACCGTTTTTCACTGAAGTTTCTACCTGATCCAAAATGAAATTCCGCTTCTTACGAGCTGCAATCTCAATGAACTTCCCAAGACACTGTGGAGCTCTCTGCAACAGTGTGTTAAGTTTCCCAGTGTCTGCCATCTGACGCTTAAAACCTGCAACCTACGGAGAGATTTTCCAGAGTTAAAGTAGTCGTGATACACGTGGTTGACATTTTCTTTGCTAAATGTTCTCCACCTCAATTCATGGATTGTTCAATTGAAGGCTATAGCTGCAAACTCGTAACTGAAATTCTCAAGCCTCCATAAGGCACAGAGCTTTACAGACGAAGACTCTAGGTGAATCAATACAGTTCAGTTCAAGGTATACTCATCACAATACTAATTTCAGCTAAACATTCTATTTTGAGAACAGTAACACAGAGAAATAGAAACACGTTAAAGAGTCAACAACAGCTGACTATTTTTTTATATACTACCACAAAAAGCTTTAGAATTCTGCTGTGCCACATACAAATGAGCAGCTCAGCAAGGTAAAAAGACTTTTAACAGTCACTAGCTAACACGTAGCCAGTTTCTTTGATACAAAAGAATCCCAGAGCAGCCAGACACCTTGGATTTACACCAAGTTTCTAATATATTAAGAAATCAAATGTCGTATTTTCACTTACCATCATTTTGTCCATAATAGTATTTGTCCCAAGAATGTTGTATTTCCCGGGATTTGCTGCTGCATGTTTGGTAACCCATGTAGTCTTGCCAGCCCCAGGCAAACCAATCATCATCACCACCTATGACGACAAGTTCTGTACTTGAGATACTAGTTCAAAGATTTTCTTTAGTATGTAACTTAGCCCAGAAAGCCTAATGAATACTGAGAGGGAATGTAGGAGTGTCAGGGGGTGGTGGTGGTAGTGAACAGTCATGGGATACCAAGTATTAAAGCTCCCAAACAACGTCAGAGTGTGGTACAATAGTCTGCTTAAGTCTACCACTGCCATCCATCCATCTCAACAACTCTGATCAAGAAGAAACTTACCTCACAATCTTTCTTTTGCTCAGGTCCCTTTGGTCCTCGGACCCTATCCTCCAGGGGGACCTTCTGGATGAAGGTATACTCTTCAGGAACAGGAAAGTAAGGTTCCTCCTTCTGACCAAAGTTAAACTCAACTGCACAGTTATGGCAGAGAACATGTGGAAAGAGTGGTCGCCCATCAAGAACTTCCTTGCTTATTTTGAATGCAACACCAAGCTCTTGTCCATTCTTGGAATACGAGAGTTCCACTTCATCACCATCAAAATTCTGTTTTTCAGACAAAACATCAGGTTAGATACAAGTACCTCACTCTATGAAATTATATTAGTCACTTCACTATACTCACTATATTCATTTAACTCCTGTAACACTGCTATATCATAAACGAACTAAAACAAATTTTCTCTTACAATGAGTTACTGCCAATGATCATCTTGATTAAGATCTGATTTTTTTGTTAAAGGCTTTAAAGACATTTATTTATGAATACGTAATCACGTTGGCAGCAGCCACTGTTGATAATAGCTGCTGCTTCTAGCACCTCCCTATGTTAAACAACTTGTCTTGCTCCCATGATTATAAGTACTTGGTTTACTGCTTATCACATCAAAGAAGTCTAAAAATATTCTCTTTTGAGGAAAAACATCCTTGAATAAGTGAAAACTTACAGCAAAACATCCAATCACATCATTTTCATCAAACTTCTCACCAAAGTCTTCAGTCTCACAATTGCAAGTCTTTATTCCTTTTAGAGAATACCCATAAGAAAATTCTTCTTCACCTGAAGAAATAATTTAAACTAATTAAAAACAGGCATTCCCACCTAACCTTTTAGAAATAAATCACTTTACAGCTACTTATGTAAGCTGCCGTTCAGAATATTTTTATTAATGCCAAAACAAGCTATGACCTTAAACAGTTACACAAGCTCACTTTTCTATTCAAGAATACTCTCACTTGAGATGGAACGGCAGCGTTTCCTCATCCCAGTTTTAAGAGCCTTATGCTGCTGGTTCCAGATTCATCCTGACAATAAAGCTGAACTGCCAGATAAAGACATGAGCAAGTATTTTTAAAATCTGAAGACCTCACATTATGCACTGGTATACCTACTGTAACATAGTCAGAAAGGCTTTCTGACTGAATTTAGTCTCCAGTAGCACTTACCCCTCCCATTTTAAAGGGAGTTTAGCAGACAGTCAGCCTATGCCACAGCTGAGGATGAAGCTGCAAGGAACAAGCTAACAGGAAGTGTCAAACATAAGCACTCAGGTGGAATTTAAGTACTTAACTAGAAAGCTGTTGCTGCTGTCAGAACATACCAACTCATACACATTTCCCACAAAGATGTGTTTCAGCAACAAGTATGAGCTGTCAGTGTTATTATGACCATTTGCCATATATGTAATGAAGTTGTACTTTTTTCTTTCCAACTATTTTCAGAAATTAGGATTTCCCCCCCAAGCCAAAAGAATGATAATGGAGTTATCCATGAATTTTTTTTCACTGGTTAAATCATACACTATGTCCCATCCTTGAAGAAAAAAGAAGGGGGAGAGAGGAGGGTTGCCCCTGTTCCCTCTTATGACACCACACAAAAAGCAGAAATTGTTAGGTATTCGATAATGTTCTCCACAAGCCATACTTGACCACTGGAAGAACTAGCTCTGAAATTATGAACTCCTTACAAGCCTGAATACTTAATGGCTTAATTTGAGTCATTTACAGGACATGGTGTGAGGAAGTTTATTACTAGGACCAAATAAAGACTTTTCAGAACACATAGATTACAATCACTAAGCTTGTCCCACCTGCTTCAGAAAAAGATGATTTAAAACTTCAGCCATATTCAGCATACACAATTCAAAAGCAATCAAACATTTAATTCTTACCAAGCAACATTCCACTTGTGTTCAGTGACCAGCCAACTCGCACTTCATGTATGTCAATATCTTTTGTATACAGGTGTTTAACAGGAATCTTTTCTGTAACCTATTTTTAAATTATTCAGCAAAAGGTAAGCGATATTTATTAGACACCAACAAGACGGAAGCACAAAAGGTAGTATTTGGAACCTTTACACATTGGTTGAATCTTTGCTAAGTCTAAGTAATCACCTTCTGCAAAAATAAAACATTCTGAAACCACAAGCCAACGACTAAATAGTTTTATCTCCTGACCTAGCAATGAAGATTGAAGATACCATGTATCTTGATCACTTTGTCAAAGCAGTCCCCCTCAGTGGCCAAAAGCCTTAAGTCCTTTTGACACTGTATTAATATCACAAACAAGATGTATATATATTAAAAAAAAAATCAAAAGAGCTGCCATAAAATTGGGATTAACACTAAATTACTTTGCTAAGAAAATATGCAATGGATAAAAAAAATTGCTTTATACAGACTGAGGCAAATATTACACTCATCCCTTTTCACTGTAAGCAGACTTCCTGGGCAAACTGCCAACTTCCAAATAACATAACCAGATTTAAACAAAAAAACCCCAACATACAAAAACCCCCCAACAAACCACCTAAAAGCACTGGAATCTGTAGGCAACCAGCTATTTCTTAATTGCATTTACTAACTTCACCAAATTCAAGTGAAAAATCCATCAGTATCCTACCAGCTTCCACAATTATTTAAGTCAGGTCAAACTGATTTGAAAGTGAACAGGGCAATAGTGACATTAATTTCACTTTAGTGGCCTCCCAAAGTTAAAGAAAGAAATCACTCCATGCAACAGCAAGAACGGGATCACTACCCAGTTCTCATGGAAAAAGTTACATGTCAAAGCACTAGAGGAAGAAAACAGAGTAAGAGAACACAGGTCCATCATGTGCAAAGAAGCCTTTAACATGGTTTTAAGTAAAAAAAAAAACCTAAAAAAAAATTCAAGCTTTGTGCTCTTGTTACTCTTTCATCCACAAGTTGGAGAAATCAATTTATTACAAGGCTGATTGCTCTTTGCCGTTCTTAGCCTTCAGGAGAACTTCTGTTCTCAAAATTTAACTACCTGCGAAATACTCACATTCAATGCATCAAGTCAGAGTTAATCATGTTGAAAGGGACCTCTGGAGGTCATCCAGCCCAAGTCTCTACCCAGAGCAGGTCAAACTCAAAGATAAGTGGAAACAGAAAGGACTGCTGCGATAATTTATATCCCCTTTTTAAAAAGAAATTAAGCTCTCTGTACTCTTCAAAAAGTCCAAGCAAACTTCTGACTAGAGAGCATAAAAGTTCTTCAAGTGTTGATGCATGAGCTCCCAAATAGAATTCTTGGTTAAAAAATGAGAGCAAACGTCTCATTCAGACAAAATGAAGGGTTTTGTGGTTTTTTTGGGGGGGCTTTGTTTGTTTGGGGTTTTTTTGTTGTTAAATGGAAGTTCTTATTAAAGAGGCAACAGTTTTGCAAACTGAGCCATCTTTTATCAAGAACATTTCACAGGCACATAAGACAAGGTCTTCCCAGGCCTTGTTCACATGACGTAGTTTTAACTTAGTCCAAGAAATGTGACAAGTATAAACAATATTATATTTAAGCATGCAAAACAGTCTCCTGTAAGCATCAGTAACTCACCTTCATCTCAAAGCAGACTTTGCCTTTAGAAACTCCATAGGAAGCTCTCCCTCCAGCCCAAAGGAAAGCAAAGCTTTCCATGGTCAGAGAGGAAGCACTAAACCGGTCTCTTGAGATTTTAAAATGCAGGTCACAGTTATCTGTTAACATAAAAATCATTCTGTTTACTCTGATTACAAAATAACGTACAGGTGTCCAATTGTATGCATTAAAGGTGATGTCAGCTTTCAAAGGTGATATTCAAGAAAACTGCCAGCAAGTACTCATCAGCTTTCAGAAAAGCAACTCACAACTGAACATATGCCTAGACAGAGGCACAGGCTGAAGCCCAGCATAAAATCTTAAAAAAAATAGCTAACGAGCAATTTTTCAAGGTGTTATCTTCACTTCTGTCACCCATTTCCCCTCTATTTTTTCCATCTGCTTAAAAGCCCCTGAATTTCACCTTATCTACCCACTTGAGTCTTCTTTGTTGGTTACCTATTTCTGCCAGTACAGAGTGATCTGCATCATGCTCTTGGCAGTATGTGCTGTTGTACTGTTTTTGAAGTATTCTTAATGCTCACCCTCAAAATTAAGGGCTGCTAAGAAGTAAACATGAATGTTTGAGTACTGAAAATAGTCTCTGGTTAATACAATAAACTAGCGAGTCCCATTAGATTAAGCCAATTAAAACACAAGTGTTTAATTCAAACACTCTCTGTGCTTAGCCTGAGAACCTACTTCAGACCAAAAACAAGACCTACACTATGAATTCACCTAAGAGCTTAAGTGGAATTTTGGTTTTACAGGCATCTTCAGAGCTGAACACCATCAAATTGCTAATTAATCTTTTAATAGGTTTCAGAATGACAATGCCAAATGGTAAGATGGGATGCAGCATAGAGCACTTTAATTCCCCAGAACAAGGAATCCATAGATGAAGCTCCAAACCTATTTGATAGTTACAAGAAAGAAGCTAAAGGAGCAAACAGCGAGTTCTGCTCTAGTGTAAAACCTGCACGCTGCCTGAGCACACCAAATGCAGTCTGCCCTGTGTTACTGGCAACTGTGACACACAAGATTTTTGCATACAACCATCCCCAACTGCAACAGTGTTTTCCAAGTGTTTTCTCATTAGTACTTCTAACTTTTATTTGTTGTGTGAAAACCAGATAAAATCACACAGAAGAAACCCACCTTTGCATGTTACTTACAGAACAAGAAATGACAACAGAATTTCAAATTACAGCTTCCTTTTAAGACATGGGAAATAAAAGGTACTTAAGAGTGGCTAAACCTCTTATATGTCTGGATCACTATGGTGCAGAAAAGAGAATACCTATTCAGTCTTTAAGCTATGTTTGAATCTTATCTCCAAACAGTCTGTTAACACTTTAAATCATGAAGTTTGTCCAGTAAGAAAACTTCTCACTAGGAACTATTATTATTACAGAAATAGTAATAATTAACAGCAGCCATTTACTCAGTCATTGGGAAAATCCAAAGCTCCCACAGAGGTGGCTACTCACCAGGTTAGCAGCTAGAAACTTGAGATTTAGTTACCAAAATGTCAAGGATGGCACACTGAGCAGTTTATGTGGCTGTAAACTAATACTGCCTTCCATTTCAAAGCACTTGTTGTGGGAAAAAAAACATCTGGAACTACTAACAAACATGCTAGATAATGCCAGAAGTTAAGCTTTTCTTCCATGGCACTTTAGGAATCCAACAAGTTCAAGCACTACTTATTCCAGTTTTCTAATATTGCACTAAGTTCTTATACTTACCCTCACGAATACAAATGTCAACTTTGCTCTTACGGTACATCCCAGTAACAGTAATGTTTATAATCTGTCTCAAAAAAACCCATTTGCAGGTACTTGTCAAAGTCTACGCTCTGCCGACGAATTCTCTGTCTTCCCACTTACACAAATCACCACCCAACCCCATAAACTCCCAGGCTGCATAAATGGGTCACTTTTCAGGAGGCCTTACCAGATTTTGTTCAATTTCTCAGAAGATGTGAAAGAACACTCCACTGCTTGGTACATATATAGCGCAAGTTATGCAGGAAGCTCACTTCACCAACCATACTATTGTAATCACTTACGCCACTGACTCTCTAAGCCTTCTGAAGCAGCAGTGCTGGACAACTATTTTCTCAAGCTGTTTTCAGGGTGTTCTATGTTCACTCTACATTTGGCCACCCAAGCTTCCATACTGTGTAAGAGTTTTGGTTAAGATTTCTTCACAGAATTCTGTCACCACAGACTTTGTAGGAAAACAAGCTTACTGCTGCTAATATACTTGCATATCCTTCTGCTCTCTGTATATTGAAAATGGGTAGAAACAGTTTCTTTTTTTTTTTAGTTACCTGGTAATGAAAGTCAACAAATGTATTCTCCCCGCATTTCAGAAAGTGTGGCATTAAGATTAAAAATATAACACCACATCTTTCCAGAGCAAAGGAAAGCATGTTTACTCACAAGTATCAAGACAAACCACTGTGTCATCAAAATGTTCATCTTCTTCTTCAACAGGTGGTTGAGGGGACTTGGCCCTGATAAAACAAAGACCAAACAAAAGATAATAAAGCTACACATATTTTCACAATGTTAAAATAGACACTCCTGTACTTTACTCCTCCTCATTCACAAAATGCTACCCAGCATCAAGTCTGTTTACCTGCTATACTTATTTTCCTCAATGTATTCAAAATATCCTCGGCCATGGTCCTCACGTGGTCTTTTCACTCCCCTCTTCTTCTCACCAGGTTTTTGTTCCATTTTACCATCTCCTGTAACAAAATGAATAATTCATTTTAATTATTTTAAGTTTTAATATAATTAGGAATAAAATCTATCTGAGGGCTACAAGCTTGTAAATTTCAAGAACCTACAGTCTGAGAAAAACAATAATATCCTAAAAAGAAGTTTTGCCTTTTTTTTTTTTTTAAGATAGAACCCCGTATCTCGAACTTTCTCGGGAGACTCAGAACTTGTCGTAAGAAGTGATTTAGCAGACGGAAGCGGCCACTACACCACGCAGCAGCCGGTACGGCCGTCGGTGCTAAGATCCCCACGGAAAAGCCAGAAAAATAAAATGAAAAAAAATAAAAGGACCAAAAAAAACCTGGACCCGCCGCGACGCCGCACCCCCATCCTCCCCCCCGCGGGGACAGCGGGACATTCCCGGCCGCTCGCAAGGGCACGGCGCGATCCGCACGACTGCGCCTCCTCCCGGCGGGCCGCAGGCGGGAGCCCCAGGGCAGGAATTCCTCCTCCTCCTCCCGCCTCCATTGTACCGCCGGGCCTTCCCAGCGCCATCCCGTGCGCCCAGCCCGGAAGTGACGTCACGCGCGCCGCGCGCCCCTCGGCGCACAATGCACAGCGCGCCCCAGCGGCCCCTCCGCCGCCCCTCCCCCCACGGCCCCTCCCCCGCCCGGCCCCCCCCCGCCGGGGCCGCACGAGGCGCGGGGCCTCCAACGTCCTCCCGCGCGCGCCCCGGAAGCCGCCCCCCCCTCAC